TGATTCAAATACTCCTGGTTTTGAAGTGGATCGTTCTGCATGCCATGGATTCAGTGTGTCCATAAAATTCCACTGGTGGGTTGCAGCTGACAGGTCATCTACCATTTGGAGACCTTCGACGTGACCACCATCCGCGCTTCAACACCCATGTACCTCATGGCCAGACGGATTAGGCAAGGAGAAATCTCTGGTTGGTGGTTTCCAACATTTTTTATTTTCCGTAATATATGGGATAATCCTTCCCATTGACTAATATGTTTTCAATACGGCTAAAACCACCAACCAGATCTGATTGACAGTTCGACTGTTCGACTGCACCCACTGGATAGGATCTGTCAGGTTAAGATGTTACAAGCACCATTGTCAGCACCATTATCCTCGTCGTCACAAGTCTTCAATACCATCGTCATGCTCATGGTCATGGTCACGACCATGATAACAGGAATCACCGACAACAGCAACATCAGTCTCTCTAGGCAGTTTCTCAAGTGGCAAATGAACAGATTCCATCATCGCATTCCAGGGCTACAGGCGTCAAGATGGTTCTCAGTGGTGAGGGTGCTGATGAGATCTTTGGTGGTGCGCTGGCTGTGGGATGCCATGAGACCTTTGGGGCAAGGGTTGCGGTGAACTGGGGATGGGCCAATCAGTGTTTGGGTTTTGACCCCACACCAAAGTCCAGGGCCCCGCAAGCCACAAATTCCTGCACGTGATTTATATAAATTTGAGCCACCCCTGCCCATGTAGTACTGTGCCAAATGACTGATCCATACTCATAGAAAGATTAACAAACAAGTAGAAAGGCGACGGTGTCATTGCAATGTGTGTGCCATGAAGGCAGAAGGCCTGTATTTTTTAGTGAAATGTAAAAAAACGGAGGGAGTATGTTCATAGAAGAATGAGACACCCAACAACACTCAACACTCCAGAATACTTATTGTTTGAAGCGGCCTCTCTGATCTTCTCTGGTTTGAATTCGCAGGTTACCTCTACTTTCACAAGGCGCCAAACAAGGAGGAGTTCCATGCTGAGAACTGCAGAAAGGCCTCCGCCAGTCCCACATACCTTGATCGACCTTGACCACCAAAGTACCCAAACAGGCACATGTTTTTGGATGTTCAAAGGTATTAAAACACGAGGCGTACCATAATAATAATATGACGTGTATGAATATCTTGCATGTGTATATCATATAATATACGATTCTATATATGTCTATGATGAGGTATGTGCTTGAAGCATTTTGATGTCTTTTTATTGAAACTTGGAGACCGACAGCAAACTATGTGACCCGGTGCAGATTGGTCAACTCCACCTTTATGATTGCCTGCGCGCAAACAAAGCCATGATGGCCTGGGGAGTGGAGGCATTGCGCTGGTATGAACATCCTGGAAAATCCCAGCAATGTTGAAGTAAACAAAAGGCTACCAGGCTGGCTACCAGGGTTTGACCAATACCCATATCTGGCAGCATATTATCAATGGTCAAACCTTGGATAAGTTGCCCATAAGCTCAAGGATAGTCATCCGCCCCATGAGGGTTTGATAGAAGCGTCAGAAAAACAACGCTTGATCCTGGCATGGGTTGGAGAGCTACCAGTGGCCGAGAGTTTGTAAAAAAACATCATGCAATGGGAAGGTGCTGGAAGGTTGTTGGTCTGAAACTGTGATTTTTATGACCGCTTGAAGAATACCACCCCACAAAGGGCAAGACTCTACAGTGAGATGCCAGCAGAGGATCGCGGAAACTCGAAACTCTGATAGACGTTCTGTTCCTGCCCAATTGGAGATGGGCCAAAACCCTTTGAAATACCATAGTTGTGCGAGTTCTCGGGGATGAACATCCATAAATTATAGAATGGGCTAGCGCCCAGGTGCCGCCGACCCCCCTCTATTTGGGGGGCACTGTGGGGAGAGAGAGAGAGAGAGAGACAGAGAGGGAGAGGGAGAGGGAGAGGGAGAGATGGATGGATGGATGGATGGATGGATAGATAGATAGATATATAGATAGAGGGAGAGAGAGATAGATCGATGGATAGATAGAGGGATAGAGAGAGAGAGATAGATTGATAGATAGGTAGATAGACAGTTAGATAAACAGGTGGATAGATCGATTGTTGGACAGATGGATAGATAGAGGGACAGAGAGAGAGAGGGAGAGAGAGAGAGAGAGATAGATGACAGATAGGTAGATAGACAGTTGGATAAACAGATGGATAGATCGATTGTTGGATAGATAGATAGTGGCATAGGAAGAAAGACGGATGGATTGATATATACTTTGAGTGTCAAGTACCCTCCGTTTTTAGGACTGTCATTGTAACCCCATGTTTTTTCCTGCCTGCTGCTGGCTGCTGGTGCTGGCTGCTGCCTGCTGCTGCCTACTCCTGCTGCTGCAGAAGCTTTTGCTGCTGCTGCTGCTGCTGGTCCCCGGATGGGAAAACACCATGGCAGTGAAGGACGGAGAAACCCCAAAATTGCACCCCGTAAATGCCTAGCGAAAACGCATAGAAAATGATGATTTTGGTTACTTTTTCCTCTTGCTGCTGCTATGAATTTTGGCTACCTTTTCCTCCTGCTGCTGCAGAGGCTTTTGCTGCTGCTGCTGATCCCCGACCCGTTGTTGTATTTCTTGTTGTCTACAACCTCTCTTCCCTGACGCGCTCGTTTTGGAGCGTTTGGAGAGTTTTGGAGCGTTTGCGGGCTGGCAAACGGCAGCTTTGAAAGCCAATAGAAAGCCATTGCTGTGGCCTTGGCCCAGGGCCTTGGCCCCAGGGTGCTTGTTTGAGAAGTGGCCTTGGCCCTGGGGTGCCTGTGGCGGAAGGTGTTTGGAGGGTTTGGAGGGTGTTTGGAGGGTTTAGACGGTTTTGGAGGGTTTGGAGAGTTTTGGAGCGTTTGCGGGCTGGCAAACGGCAGCTTTGAACGCCAATAGAACGCCATTGCTGTGGCCTTGGCCCGGGGCCTTGGGTGCCTGCGGCCTTGGCCCTGGGGTGCCTGTGGCGGAAGGTGTTTGGAGGGTGTTTGGAGAGTGATGGTTTTGGAGCGTTTGGAGAGTTTTGGAGCGTTTGCGGGCTGGCAAACGGCAGCTTTGAAAGCCAATAGAAAGCCATTGCTGTGGCCTTGGTCCAGGGCCTTGGCCCCGGGCTGCTTGTTTGAGAAGTGGCCTTGGCCCTGGGGTGCCTGTGGCGGAAGGTGTTTGGAGGGTTTGGAGGGTGTTTGGAGGGTTTAGACGGTTTTGGAGGGTTTGGAGAGTTTTGGAGCGTTTGCGGGCTGGCAAACGGCAGCTTTGAAAGCCAATAGAAAGCCATTGCTGTGGCCTTGGGTGGAGAGTTTTGGAGCGTTTGGAGTGTTTGGGACGGTTTGGAGGGTTTGGACGTTTTGGAGGTTTGGTACCTTTGAAAGCCAATGAAAGCCATTGCTGTGGCCTTGGCCCTGGGGTGCCTGTTGGGGAAGTGGCCTTGGCCCTGGGGTGCCTGCTGGGGACGGTGTTTGGAGGGTTTGGTCCGACAGGAGGGTTTAGACGGTTTTGGAGGGTTTGGAGAGTTTTGGAGCGTTTGCGGGCTGGCAAACAGCAGCTTTGAAAGCCAATAGAAAGCCATTGCTGTGGCCTTGGCCCGGGGCCTTGGGTGCTGCCTGGGGACGGTGTTTGGAGGGTTCCCTAGGACGTTTTGGAGGGTTTGGACGTTTTTGAGGGTTTGGTACCGTTGCAAGCCCATAGAAATGCTATGCTGCGGCCCTTGGCCCTTTGGTTCCTGTTGGGAGTGGCCTTGGCCCTGGGGTGCCTGCTGGGGACGGTGTTTTGGGGGGTTTGGTCCGACAGGAGGGTTTAGACGGTTTTGGAGGGTTTGGAGAGTTTTGGAGCGTTTGCGGGCTGGAAAACGGCAGCTTTGAAAGCCAATAGAAAGCCATTGCTGTGGCCTTGGCCCGGGGCCTTGGGTGCCTGCGGCCTTGGCCCTGGGGTGCCTGTGGCGGAAGGTGTTTGGAGGGTTTTGGAGGGTGTTTGGATGGTGATGGTTTTGGAGCGTTTGGAGAGTTTTGGAGCGTTTGCGGGCTGGCAAACGGCAGCTTTGAAAGCCAATAGAAAGCCATTGCTGTGGCCTTGGCCCAGGGCCTTGGCCCCGGGGTGCTTGTTTGAGAAGTGGCCTTGGCCCTGGGGTGCCTGTGGCGGAAGGTGTTTGGAGGGTTTGGAGGGTGTTTGGAGGGTTTAGACGCTTTTGGAGGGTTTGGAGAGTTTTGAAGCGTTTGCGGGCTGGCAAACGGCAGCTTTGAAAGCCAATAGAAAGCCATTGCTGTGGCCTTGGCCCGGGGCCTTGTGTGCCTGCTGGGGACGGTGTTTGGACGGTTTGGACGTTTGGGAGGGTTTGGATGGTTTTGGAGGGTTTGGTACCTTTGCAAGCCCATAGAAAGCTATGCTGCGGCCTTGGCCCTGGGGTGCCTGTTGGGGAAGTGGCCTTGGCCCTGGGGTGCCTGCTGGGGACGGTGTTTGGAGGGTTTGGACGTTTTGGAGGGTTTGGACTCTGGACGGTTTTGGAGGGTGTTTGGAGGGTTTGGAAGGTTTTGGAGGTTTGGGGGGTTTGGAGGGTTTTGGAGGGTGTTTGGAGAGTTTGGAGGGTTTTGGAGCGTTTGGAGAGTTTTGGAGCGTTTGGAGTGTTTGCGGGCTGGCAAACGGCAGCTTTGAAAGCCAATAGAAAGCCATTGCTGTGGCCTTGGCCCAGGGCCTTGGCCCCGGGGTGCTTGTTTGAGAAGTGGCCTTGGCCCTGGGGTGCCTGTGGCGGAAGGTGTTTGGAGGGTTTTAGAGGGTGTTGGAGGGTGTTTGGAGGGTTTAGACGGTTTTGGAGGGTTTGGAGAGTTTTGGAGCGTTTGCGGGCTGGCAAACGGCAGCTTTGAAAGCCAATAGAAAGCCATTGCTGTGGCCTTGGCCCAGGGCCTTGGCCCCAGGGTGCTTGTTTGAGAAGTGGCCTTGGCCCTGGGGTGCCTGTGGCGGAAGGTGTTTGGAGGGGT